AGAAGTCCTGGAGGAGCCCACTTATATCACCACTATTTCTAAACCACTCTGCTAGCCCTGGTGTGTGAGTGCTGGGGAATAAAACCTTCCCTTAGCTTGGAGTGGCTCGCCAACCGGGTTGAATTTTGGCTTTACGTAGGAGGGAGTAGTGGAGCTGGTGGGAGGACTCGAGAGAAACTTTAGCTTAGGGATGGTATTTTGCAGAGGTGCCATCCTGTAGCAGTTTTTCATGGGATTAGCTGTAGTTTGTGGTTAAGATTATAAAACATGTTTTATTTTTCGTTACTTATGCAGTAGGAGGAGGCATATTCTTTTGGTGAATTGGCTGCTGCTGGCAGAAGGAAGAGAAACTGCTCAACCTTTGAAAAAATTCACTATCTTTCCTCTTTTTCAAACTTACATCTCCTCAAACACAGCTGCAAGCTGCAGCACCAGAGTTTGCTGTGGGGCATTAATTTTCTAGGTTTTTAATGAACATCAAACCCAATTATTCTGTTTTTAGGGCATGTTTAGAGTAAGCTGTGTTTCTGTTCTGGTGTTGATTTGAAATGGTCACGGTAAAGATCACCTGGAAGTGTGCCAGTGTAAGGTCCATGGTGAGTTGGCAGAGATGCCCTGTGCTGGGTAAATTTTGGAAATTCCCAGAAGGACCGCTTTTTGGTAATTGTGATAAATGCTCTCCTGATAGGAAGCAGGAAAGTGGAGGTGTTGGGAAAAGGTTAGAGAGGGCATCTGAAAGTCTCCAGGAGTTTTTGATGGGGCTTGGGGAGTATCCTGGCATGTGGGATGAGGAGATATTGCAGCAATTACTAAATTAGGATTACATTTTAGAGAATCTTTTTAGACGGAGGACTTTTCAACAAGAACTTCTGTTTCCTGCCAAACTAACAAGATCTTTAGGAGGGAGGGAAAAGGTTTCAGTGAGTGCTCTTGACGGGGAGGAATTTGAAAAATGGAGCTGGGGACCACTTGCTGGAAGCTGAGAATTGATTTCACTACAGTATTAATATTTAGAAATAATTAATGAGGAGAAGTGAACTCCAGGATCAAGTGTTTAATTATACCACCCTTTATTTCAGCTTTTCACCACCTCCCCCCCCACCTTTCAGCTTTTCACCCCCTCCCCCCCCACCCCCCCCCCGCGATACAGGTTGTGTTGTATTTACCGTGCGTGGTTTTTTTCCTTGAGAAGTTTACTCTTTCTTTAAGAGAAAGGCTTTGAAGGGCAAGGTCTGTAGTTGATTTTAGGGGAAAGACAGCCTGTAGGGATGTCCTGCTCCCATGCAGTTTTCCCATCCTAACATGAAAGCACAAATTTGTCCTCCTTCCAGCTGAACAGCTTGGGGATCTGCTAGGATATTGCTGGGGATGACTCGAGTGACCTAATATTCAGCAGTTAATTGGAAGCCAAGTGTGATGGGAATTGCCAGGGGTCCTGTTTGCTGTTGAAAAAATGCTAAGGATTTTGGGACTGCCCTGCTGTAATGGAGCGAACATTGCAGTGTTAAATTATCACATCGATGAAAGATGCTTAGTAGAAAATGAGGATAGCGGAGCAACTAGGAGCACAGAGAAAGAGAGGATGCTGTAATTGCAGATGTAATTGCAAAAACATGCAAGGATCAAACCAATACCTTTGCTAAACGGTCACTTCTGTGCTCTAGACAATGATTCTATAATAAATGGGGAATGAAAGTCATCTCCTGAGTAAAGGCAGTTTGCTTTATGGAGAGTGCACTGGGCAGACTGGGCGATGAGTGTGTATGTTCCGGGGGAGGAGGAGGATGGAGCGATCTGTACTTTCTGCTAAACAAGTTCTTTACAAGGCAGGTGTGGTGTGGCTGGGTTTGGGTTTTCTCCTTCTGCAGTGACATGGAAGTATTTCCTTTCATATGTCTGTCTGATGAATAATTCTATCTAAACTATGGCAAAACTGTTCTTTCCTTGGAAAAATGTTTCTCTTCAGTCAGACATGAGCAAGGAGCTAGTAACAGCTTCCAGTGCTATTTATGTTAAAACTTGTTTTTCTTTATTATTTTATTAACTCAGTTCCTTGAGCCTCAGGCTGTACTTTGGTCTAGGGTCCTTTTACCTGCTGACCAACCCAACCGTCTTGGCTGACCTTTCAGTCTGTGACATGCTCTGAACAGACACGGTACCTCTGGCGCTGCCCCTCGTCTTATTTTCACACTTTGAATCTTCCTTCTCTTCCCCACGTGTGCACTTGCTATCCACGTTCAGTCTTTGACCTTTAGATTTTGAAGGAGGAGATAACCTTTGTATACAGGCTTGTTGGGCTGAGCGGTTAGCATCACCTTCACTATCTGAAATACAGCTTTTTTCGTTCGGGAGCCGGGGGAAAAGGACCTTTTTTTCCTACCCTGACAATTCCTGATGTCCCCAAGAGAGCGACATCCCAGCAAAAGATTTCAGCGTGGCCAAGCTGGGCCAGGTCCAGTGTAGCGGCAGTGGCCTGGTCTGGGTGTGAACTTCACAGCTACAAAGCTGAGTGATCTTCTGATAACATTTTGGATGTTTGCAATGGCAGAATTCACACCAGATCACCAGTCTGTCGGGAGCGCTTGAGCATTTTGGTAGCAGGATGAGGCAGTGCTGTCAGATTGCCTTGGAGGTTTTGCTCTTCGCATTTCTGCCAGGGGCCTGTGCTGCTTTGACCCTGTGCTGTAGCACCTCAGACATCAAGGTTCTTCCATGTAGTCAAAAGGTAACACGCTTCATCAGCTGGGTAATCCTTGTATCCATATTGCACTGTAAATGGTAATCTCCTTAAAACACACCTGACTCTTAGAAATTTTCAGCCTTTTGTCCCCATCCTTCTTCCCTGTCATGCCTTGGAGGTAGGCGTTAGGTGCTGTCTGAAGTTGGGAATGTGTTCGGAAATACTTCAACCAGGGGCCCACACAAAAATTTTGCTTTTAGCTTTCAGCCCAAGCTTGGAACTTGGGAGTACGAATGCTCCCAGAGAAGGGAGAGGGATCCTTCTTTTTGTGTCTCCACAAATGCTTGGTTGTAATTCCCAGCACAGGGAGCCAAACACGTTGTCTGTGAGATATTAACCTCAGAAAAAATATTTATTATAAACACTGGGTGTTGCAGTGTTTAACGAGTGATAAGTCACATACCATTTAGAGGATATTTGCTCTCAGCCACTTTGTTTGTAGTCAAATCTGTTTCATTTCTGTTGTGACAATTCTGTTAGTTCCTTGCCGGAACTCTTTGGCAGGAAAAATGTCAAAATCAACACTAAATATTTTGCTGAAGAAACCCATTCAGCCATGTTGAATTAGAATAGTGTCTCCAAAAAGAAGGCAGGCTCTGTTTTCAGTTGCCATCTGCTTGTTAGAGTGTATGCATGTTGCTTTCCTGCAAGGGATATGTGGTTTTATATACACAAGACAGTCCCATTTTTCATTTTTCAGAGCAGCAACATTTATTTTATTAGAACTGTGTGTTCAGCTGTGGCTTGATGCCGATATGAAGACGATGAATGTATATCCATCAGGGTTTCTTTGCTGTGTAAAAGAACAAGGGGCAAAAATGTAGAATATTGTTCTGGGAACCCTCTCCTCGGAGTGAGGTCAGGGGCTTTATCCCTAAAGGTGGTTTCTGTTCTTCCTGACAGGAGCGTGATGGGATGCGAGCAATTCTGGAGTCGTACGACAGCGAGCTGACCCCTTCGGAGCACTCACCCCAGCTGAACCGGCGTATGCGTGAGGCTGAGGAGATGGTGCAGAAGCTGCACGCTCATAACACCGAGCTGGAGGTAATAAAGAAGCATCATGCTCTAACCCCAGGGGTGAAGTAGTTGAGACCTTTAAGATTGAATTGCCTAGTGATGTGATCTGCTCTCACAGAAGACAGATTTGCAAAATTCAGAATTCCAGGATCAATAAGACCTACAAATTATTACTCTGCACCTGAAGCTGGCAGAAGCCAAGAATAATCGTCTTTGGGTGTGCTGAGTGCGCTTTGTGTTAAGCAGAGCTGTGCTGCACGGCAGGCGTGACAGCTAGTCCCTGCAGGTTGGAGGGTTGTGTAGAGGGGTAATGAAATGTTGCAGCTGTGGTGTCTTCTCTGCGGTCTAGTCTGAGTGATTCGCTATATCGCATGTGTAGCAAGGCTCTTCTGTACACAGCGTGAGTGCTTGTTTATATGAGCTTTACTCAAGGGTAGTCTGTGTCTGCTGTTAATTCTTTACTTCTTGGCATTGGGCCTGAAAACCCCACACCACCAGTTACTCTAAGTGCTTTTTACTAGGTTTTCTCTAGGAAAAAGCATTCTTTCCAAAGATAGAAGTATTTCTTGAACGAATTCTTATATTTAGTTCTCTTTTTGAAAATTTGTGATCTGAAATGTGACTGTAGTGAGGTAAACGTTAGCATGCATTTCCCAAATGGTTCCCCTCTTCTCTTGTCCTTTGCCGTAGTGGCATGGGCTTTATGGTCAGGAGTTGAAATATTTGGAACATGTCTGTGATCTTAAAGCTTGGCAGTTTTATTACATAGGCTTTACAAGAGTCATAAGTATGTGAGTTTTCCTTTCTTCATGCCTAGTTCCACCATCATATAGATTTACAGGTGCCATAATTCAAATGGACTAAAACTTGTAGAAATTGACGTTCCTCGGGTTCATGCTCAAGCCATAGTGGATTGTCCCACTGTGCACAAACCTTTTTGTTGCTTCTGGCGTTCTTAAAAATGTTTTTTTTCTTGTGTTGGTAGGTGGGGACTTAAGTCAGGCAGTACTGGCTCCAATGATCTCTACAGCCTTAGCAAGCAGAGCAGCATAGCATGGTATAGATCGGTATAGATCCACTTCACACCTGTCTCTCAGAAAAGGAATTCTGCAAAGTTTTGGGCAAGTTGATGGAGAAGTTTGATGATAATATCAAATGAAATGGAAATTTGTCTATCTCAGAATTTTTCTTTATGTTGTCTTCTAATTGCCATGTTGCTTACCACCAGACAGAGCAGGATTAGACAATGCTGACATAAAATAATAGGTGGCTATTTTATCCTGCTTTCTTAGTTGTTTCCAACAGTGGCTCTGGGTTTTTGGAAGGAGATTTCCCGAATTGCTTCACCAAATAGGTCAAATGTGCGTGGTGTCTTTGGGCAATAGCAAATTACCTTGTCTTCTTCAGGTGAAAGCCTGGAAGAGTGTGGGAACCAATTGCTACACCCCTCTATTTATAGGGAACAAATACTCGGTTTGTTTTCATGGATGTGGTTTAATGGCTACATGGAAAATTTCAGAAAGGAGCTGTGTTCTCTGGAGGTTTGTTTTGTGTGATGTCAACCTTTAAGCCTTTCAAAGACTTTGCTAGAAGCAGGATTCAAAGACCTGATATTCCCCTTGTAAAGTAAAATTTTATGCTTCACTTGATTGTGTTTGCCTTTCTGACTGCAGTGTTGGCTGCTGCATCCCATCTATTTTGAAATTTTTGGGGAAAGGTTTTTGTTCTAGTAAAAATCCGAAAACTGGAAAGGAAAATTGAGGTACAGGCAGGACTCCTGGTGCCTCATCATCAGGAGCAGCAGCTGTAATCAACTGCCTGTAGATCAAAGAACTGGTCGATAGCAGCTATTAATAACTTCTAACATAATGCTTTGCACCCTCCCAGCTCTGCTGAGCCTCTGTACAAATTTTAGAAATGTTGACACCTGCATGACTCATCTCACAAACAGAGGAGATGGCAGGAACGAGGCACCTTGGAGCCTCGGATGTTTCTGAAGCGCGGGAGAAACAGTCTCTGGTGCGGGGGGAGGTGGGAAGAGAAGGAAGAAGAGAACTTCGACATGTTTAAGTCAGTGTGGCAGGGTCAGGGCATCCCAGGAGCCCCTGGTGTGGGTGGGCTTGGGAGGGCAGCACACAACCAGCTGGTAGAGTAGCACAGAAGAATGAGCAGAGCCCGTCTGTGAGCATCATGCACGAGGCAGCAAAGCACCAACGTGCACGACTGTTCTGATGAGATCCAGGTAAGATCTGGGGAGGCTGCAAGGAGAGAGTGTGATGGATCTGAGCTGAAAAGGCCTGGCTCACACTATTCCTTTTTGCTAGGCTAAGTTGGTTAAAGTGTGGAAAACAACCATGATCCCTAGATGACAGGGGATGTACCACTGCGGGTACCCAGGGTTCTGCCCACAGAGCAGTGCTGCTGGCAGCTCCGCGTACGCTGGGAACGCTGTGTACAGGCGCAGCCCTTGCGCAGTCCCTATGGGCTGCGTCTGCGCTGGGGGGCTGCAGGGATCGCTGTGCTCCAGGAGCATCTTGAGTTTAAAAAAGCCCTTGAAACCTCTGAGGCAAATGCATCCTCTTGCATTACATTTTGTAGCTTCTACCTTTCAGCTTTGTTCATAAACCTTAAAATTCACACAATACGCCATGTCTGTCCTCCCTGGCTTATTTTATCACAGTTTTTTTTTCTTTTCTTTTTTTTTTTTTTGCTACAGAGTACTTAATTTACCAAAATCTCTTTCTGTGCTCCCTAGCAGAGAGCCCTTTGATACTTTTTTTTTTCTTGTTTCTTCTGGCTGCCCTAATCTGTTACCAGCAGCCCCACCTCTGAAGAAGCCACAGAGGGAAGAAGTGATTTTCTTAAGAGGGATTTTTCTATACCCTAAAAATGGAAATTTTTCACATCCATTCCAGCAGCAGCTCTGTGTGAGGCAGGAAGCTCTCTGGTGAAGATGGAGTGATAGTGGTAAGGCAGTAAGAAAGAGGAGGAAGCCACGTGGGACTAGGAGGATTTTGGGCTGAGGCAACAGCTTTTAACTTGTTAGGGAGATGAGGTCTCCAGTAAGTCCTTTGCTTGATGCATAAATGGAGGTGGGAGGCTGTTTAAAACAACACAGGGAACCAGAGGGGAACGTGTAAGCCCTGGAGGGTTGTGTGCAAGTAGTTTATTAATGTATGCTGGGAGGATGGAGTTAGGTGATACACTGAGTTGTGTCTGACTCCTGCCTTCCCAGGCCCTCGCTGGGCAGGACAGCTGCTGGGAGTGCTGCATCACAGACAGTGCCTGGATTACAGACACCTTTCCAGAAATACGGAAGGATGCTTTTATCCCGAATCACCTCAGACATGCAGTGTCACTGTGCAAGAATTAGTCCTGTCAGAGCCTGATGGGGCAGAGGGCTGGCAGACAAAGAAAGGCTGATGGGGAACTTTTAAAATCCCCTTCATTGATGACTGATGAGAAAAGCTGGATCTCTAATGCATGGACATGCAAACACGTAGTCTGTTCTGGGACTGAAAATGATGGCTGTATCCTCCCCAGGACTGCTTGCCCCCAGCCTGACCCCCTACTCCACACGGCTGATCTGGCTGGAGAGGTTCAAGAAAGCACTTTATGGAGTGTCGAAGGTATAGCAGGGGGGAGATGCAAAGAAAAATGCCATCTGAAATGGGGACTGGAAAAGCAAGCAGGCTGTGTCAGCCTATTTCACGTGGTTAATGAAGTGTCACTCACCATCTTTTTAAAAGTGTGTTTTGGAACTGAAGAGGGAATGAGTTTGTCCCTGGCCAGCCTGCTATAAATACTTAAAATAAACAGAATCGTAGCCGTATTTATATCACGGCATTCATTGTTGTTTTGATACTGGTGATATTAACAGTTTTCTTGCCAATCTTGGTTAACCTTTACTACCTTAGCTCCCATTGCTTCTAATTTCAAGGTAAATAGGACAAAACAAGAATCTTCTGTGCAGGCAGCAGCTACTGTGAAAAAACTCTGATGTGGAGTTTAGCGTTTGAAAAGTTAAATCCAGCTGCACAAAAGAGAAATCATCATAAATATAACTCCATTAATAGCAATTTTATTACAACACACTTGGTTCCATATGAAACTTTAATGAAGAGAGATTTGCAAGGAAGACTCATGCTGACACCTTCAATGGTCTCCAGCATTTTTTACATTGAGAGATTTACACTGTCTGTGAGCACCATATGTACTCTAATCAGTTAATTATGAGTCTGACAGTTTCAGCACATGAAATGCCATATGTTCTGTGTTTTTGTTCCACCACAGGCATTACTGGTGACCTCAAAACTCATTGACCAAATATTGTCACCTTATCTGCACCTGATAACTGCAGCACATCTGCTGGCAGTGAAAATTGGGCATTGCTGATTCTTGTGATGTTAGTCACAAATCTGCTCCTTGCAAAGGGAGTTACTTAGCAGTCACCCTGGTGTTTAAAGTGCTTAAAATTTATGTGGGGATGCAATAAAATGTTTATTTGAGCAGTTAACAGTTCCTCCTTGTCTCTCACCCAGCTTCCCCCATCAGTGCTTTTCCACTTTTTTACCTTCTGGTTTTTTTCTCTCTTTGATCCACGCTTCATGTTTATCTTGTTTTATCCCTCCTCTGCCGAATTTCCTCTCCCCCTCAAAGGTAAAGTGTTTCTTTACAGAGCAGAAGGGGTTTCTGTGATGAGGGGAGCTTTACAGAGAAATTTGTTCCCATCTGTGCAAGGTACAGAAGAGTTTGGTTTAATTTTCAGATTTCTTCTGCCCGCTTTCTCTACCTCTCTGCTGCCATCCAACCTTTGTGCACTGTCTTATCTCAGTGACAACTGTAAGAAGCAGTGAGAAGATTACTCCGCTCGCCTCGGATGTCCATAAGGAGCAAATCCAAGTCACTAGAGCTTTCCTGCCACTCCAGAATGGCATATGTTTCACTTGCCCAGACTTGTGCTGTCATTGTAGCATCTTATCTGTGACTCATGTGGGAGAAAACAGGAGCTCTCTGGAGATGATGCT